TTTACAGTATTTGAAATAGCATACTGTTCATATGATTTTAATATTTGATCAGCGAATACACTTTCATAAAAATATAAATTTAAATTGCTTATTGAGCCCTTTACTCAACTGCCTAGATTAACATTGTTAATTAATGATGTTAGTTCTGTGGAAATGCTTTTAATATACACTTTGACCATAGCCGGAGGTAATAAATCCAATTTGCATGGATAATATTTGACCTGTTTTCCTTTCTCCACATATGCGTGTGTGTGGCGTATGATTGATGTCTGCTGTGGACAGCGTGTGCATGAAAAAGTGCATAATTCGATTAGTAATCGATAATGTTGCATGCACGGCACACGCTGCCAACCGATTTGCACTAACAACTATACAAATTTAGAGGAGCACAACAACGCAATGCATTGGGGCTGGCAAGTGGCTGGGTTTGGGTCAAAGGCTCAATAGGTTTTGTGCCACTGACCTAGTTAAGCCCAGGCAAAGCTGTGAGTTAGAGGTTAAAGCACGAAAGGACATTAACCTAGTTTGCGATACTCATGCACACACAGACACACTCTTGCTCTCTCATTATTTGCACAGCCACTCAGGCAGTTTGGTTGGTTGGTAATTTAATCCTTTCGTTGCACAGCATCTTTGGTAGCTGATCGTTTGGGTCGTAAAGATTAATGGCTAAAAAAATAAAGTGTGGGTATTAAATTCGCTTTGGCCACGTGTCAACCCGGCAGCATCATAAAACCATCACCAAACACTGACATATCACACATACACATATAACGTTATCATCAGTTCAGCGAATGTTTTTTTTTACATTTTTTCGTCGATCGATCGCTCAGTTGGCACGTGTACAAAAGTGCTTTCTCTCGCTCTTTCTTAGTCTATTATTTATCTCGCTTGCTCTTGTCCATTTAGCATCTATCATTCACCGGTCTTTCTATCACGCTACTTGGCTTGTTTGTCCAGTTGATGACGCTGGCTATTAAACCCATTAACCATTAACACCTTCGATACGCACACACCCACACATGAAAGAAACCTAAATCTGACTGCGATTTTTATTTATTGGTTGTTTTGCTTTTTTCACATATATTTTTCTCTTTATATATGATACACGATTATTGTTGACATATCAAAGTTTGTTTATTATATGAAGATTTCTTCTATAAATAAACAGAGAAAGCTTGGCAGGACGTGATACGCTTTTGAACTGCTTAGTCGTGCAAGAGTCGTATTTTTTTTGTATTCCCTAAAATTCTGCGTATATTCTTATTTAATTTCTTAATGATAATTTCAATACAGCGTACAGTGTGGTTTTAGTTTGTTTAAAATCGAATATGTTACACTGAAAAACAACTTAGCTTTGTAAATGAATTTTGTTCAAATTAATTAAATGAAAAAATGAAAAAAATATTTTCATATATAAATATTTAAATATTTAAATAGTTTTTTTTATTATTATTTTTTTTATTTAAAATTAAGTATTTTTCAATATTTTTTTTTGTTATTGAAAAATGTAAATTAAATTATATCAATAAATTAATACATACATATATATATATTTTTTTTTTTTAATTCAAATAATTATTTTTATTTTTATTTCTAAAAGTAAAACTAAGCATTTTTCAATATTATTTTAGTTATAATTTAGATGATAATTTTGGTAGGAATATATTGACTTCTGGACACTATTCGAAATACTAATTTTTAATTTTATTGAGAACATAATTGCTTATGCATATGGTATAATAATAAAAACTGCTACTAATTAGAGCAGATGATGCGACTAGCCAATTCGAGTCATCATATAATTTTGCCTACTATACATATGGACTAATTTGTGAATGATATGCTTTAGTTAGTCAAGATTTTACCTTGTGCTTTTAAGGTACTTATATATCCAAGTCCAATTCACAGCTCGATTTGCACGTTGTAAACCATAGCATTTTGACGATGCGTGACTTAAGTTTTGGGGATTTTGCAAGTTGAACTCAGAATTTTCACGTGTCTCAAGTGTGCACAAGATAAAACAAGGTAATATAGTTACATTTATATATATATATATATATATATATATATATGCACACTTATTTTTTTTATTTTTTATATATGATACTCACCGGCTATCCGGGGCTTCAATAAATCTGCAGTTATTATTCTTTTGACGCACCAAAAAAATTTCCAATATTATATGATTTCCTTTTCCAAACAAAGCCAGTAAAATTCCAAATTGATTTGCTGCAAATTTACGGGCTTGACAACCAAACGATTGAACACTTTTGCGGCATCGCGTCGTGTATATCAATGGCAGGCCTTAACTGTTGTCAATTAGAAATTTTGCCACGCCATTCGATTTATTAAGTGGGCAGGGCAAAACGGAGTCAAAACTTTTCCTCAAAAGAAATCAACTTAATTGCTTAGATGGCAGATTTTTAATTGCTTTTCAATGTCGCTGACGAAGAGCAAACATATTTTTTATGCATACCCTATTTGCATATTTAAATGGCTAAATGGAATGGATGTACACCCAAATCCGACTATAAATAGTGTTAATACATTCATGATGGACCTAAAACTATTTTAAGTATTATTAGACAATTCTAGTAAAACGTTAGGCTTGATATATGTTTAAGATGATAAATTATCCAAATTTTATATAAGATGTTAATCTTGGTGCTCCCTATTAAAGTCATCAAATTTTGAGTTGCCATCACATTTATATATGCGCATATGCCAATTAAGCTCTATAGGGTATATCGAACACTCTAATTTATTTCATTTTATTCTTGTTCCTTTATTTTTCTTGTGCTGTATAAAAAGTTGAGTTTAAAGTTCAACTTAATGGAGGGTAGAAAAGTTCATTTAATTTGCTAATTGTTGCACTTGGTGCAAAATTTGCGTGCTGCCACTTGAGGCACTTGAAGGAGTGGCCTGCTCTTGGGCTCCATGGGGAAATTAGTCAACAAAGGCCGCGGTTTGATGTAAGCGAAAATACATTAAGCTGTCAATCTTCATTCCAAACTCAAAACACACAGAGAAACCGACAAGTGTCGGGCACCGAAAATATTTTGGCAAATGCTTCATACTATTGGATCGAAGAGGAGTCCTCGGGGAGAGAGATGGGTAGGAGAGTGCAGATGCCACCAGAACCTTGAGTGGCACTTGTGAACTTTGACTGTCGCTGACGTCGCTTTGCTTCAATTGATTTCTGTTGATGTAGACAGGCAGCCGAACAGACAGTCAGTCAGTCAAGTCTTTCACACAGTGTGCTGCCCTCTAATACCCACACCTGGCTATCAAGAAAAGGGCAACTGAAATATCGCTAATGCTCGGCGTGTAAATCGACTTAACTTGTATCTTTGTTTGCTTCATACTTCGAACTTCATACTTATTCGTATCGACTTATTACAAGTCAAGCCTCAGTTATTCAGGTGTGAGTTGCTCGCACTTGAGAAATTGTAATATATTAATATTTAAAGTAGATTGCGATAAGATTTCGAATCGAAATAAGACTAATGGAAATCAACTCTTGATTGAAGTATTTCCACCAAACTCATACTTTGGTGAAAATAGAATTCGATTCAGCAAGACCTTGGCCAGAGGCACTGGTGCATTAAACCCCTTAACGCCAGACACAGGGTACCTTTAGTTCACATTTACATTAGCATTTGTTTGATATTGAAATTCGCAAAAAATAAAAAAGATTTTCTTTATGAGCTGTGAACATTTTCTTGTTATTTATGTGAATTGATTTTATACGTATTTATATGCTTGGAATGTTAGTAAAACAGAATATAGATGGGGAAAGAACATATAAAAAGAATTCGGTGTATTCCAATATCTGACGCGAATTCCCTTTGTTCACAATAATTTGAATAAATTACAATATTGTAAGAAGTTGACTCAAATATAAATTAATATAAATCACGCTAATAGTATAGACAGAGTATTGATTGATGTATTTTCAGAAACTTTGTGATGATTGTGAAAACTTATGTTGGTGATTGCATCTCGCACGAGCTTACTATAGCATCTATGGCCAAAGTTATATTTAAGCATTAATGTCGTGAAATGTTCCATTGATATTAAAAATACATATTTTAATCTTATTATAATTTATACTTCTGTAACTCTAAAAAAACACTCGACACATTATAATAAATATTTAATACTTGATATATAATTAAAGAATAATGAATTCCTGAAAAATTATAGTGCAATGTAGAGTAATTTGTTGTAGTATTTTAATGACTACGATATTTTCAGTTGTTATTTAATAATAAATATATATAAAAAATAAATATATATAAATATATATATATATATATATATATATATATATAAATATTATATATATATATAAATATTGACAAGTATTTAAACTTAAAGAAGAATATTGGGTATAAACGCCTGCAGCTGATGTCTTAAGCACAAGAGCTCTTCAAAAGGCTAAGTATGAACCCTTTTCAGTGGTAAACGAAACTGATATATACTGATTTATATTGACACCATTGTAGTTTAGACATCAGTTGTATATGTTAAGAGATGAAACAGACAACAGTCAGAATACCCGTTTGGGTGTCGGGATCATGAAGTGCGTATGTTTGGCTTTGGCATTGGCGCAACTTAATGCACTAAGTTAAACGATGACCCACTCGACTACGAAACCACACAAGCTTCTGTTATTTATGAGTTTTGTCATAAACAAGTGGCATGACTTAAGCAGGCCTAGAAAAAATATGACTTTGCCATTATATTGAAGAAGCTACAGCCTATTTGTGTGTTTATAAATAACTATATTTTCCATGGCTGCTTGTGGTACTTTATTTTATATTTATTTCAAGCTCAGAGACTATTTCAAGCAAAATGCTCATAAGCTATCAAACTATCAAGCAGAAGCAGAAAAATAGCTCCACAAGCCGCTTGCCATTTCTTATGCTGCATATTTCCTTCGTTCTTACGTTTGATATTGAAATGTTGTTTTCCTGCTTTCTTTATATTTGCAGTTTTCCTGTCGCATTGTTGTTTCCATCTGCCAGCTGACAGCTAATTTGGTGCCCGGACAAAGACTGTGGACCGGCAAAGAGAACGAGTAATTCAAGGTTTGCAATCAATTCGTATTTTCAGCAACTAAGGCCACATCTTCATAATACTCTTTTGTGAGCATAATACTTATATAAATTGTAAGTCTCTTAGAGAAACATTAAGCATAGGAGGTGTACTTTCATTTGATATAAATACCTTGATTTAACGACTTGTTATAATATTGACTATTTTATTCACATTTGTTATTTCGTTGAGGGTCTTCAAAATGTCTCCATTTAAGTTTCAGTGAATCACTATTACCACAGCCTGTAATAATAAAAACTCAGAAGTTAGGCACGCAAAGCTCGTAAAAGCAAATATTGAATACTTTTCAGAATATTTCCGCTGCAATAGTTATTTACAAGAAAAAATTCCCCGCTTTTCGCTTTAAGTTTATTTTTTGTTCTTGATAGCTTTACAAATGCTCTAAAGACTTAACATTCTTCCTCTGATAACTATGGTTTATACATTTTTGTATCTATATCAAATACTCCAATGAAAATTTCCGCATAATAAACACATATCAAAATTGATTGTTAAGTGTATCACAGTTAGGCATTTGCTGGCAAAACTTTTCCTCAGAACATTTCAATCAGATTCTTGTTTGAGCCTATTTGTGTATATGTATAAATAAATGTGTGTGTGTGCGTGTATTCTATTCTATTGGCACGTAGGAGGCCGGGCAGGCACGTGTGCATAAACACATCGATACTTTGGCCAAAAAAATTGATGAAATTCTCCTGTCAGCTATTCCAAGAGTTATATATTGAAAATATCTCAGTTCGTTGTTTTGTTTTTGTTTTTGTGTAGCTGTTGTAGCCAAAGAAATGAGTTTTGGCAATCGAAATTGTAACTTTTGATTAGCACATTTATGTAATAATCAAGTTGTGCTCATCCTTGAGCCAGGCACTAGTAAATATTCGGCTGATTGATGGACATGGCTGAGCTTGTGCTCCGCATTTCATGCGAACACATATTTATATTTATCTAATATATATATGTATATATATATATATATATATATATATACATATTTATATTTATTCTTATATCTCATTGTTGGCCTCTCCAAATGGCACTTCAGCTTATTTATTGTCCTCATTCCTATGCTGTTGCTGGGGGGTAGACAATTCCTCGTATTTACTAAGTGGACGAGTGTGTGTTCAGCTTTGAGTTGTGAGTGCTCTCCACGTTGAAATAGCTAAACAATCTGCCTATTCTTGTACTTTGTCTAGTTTGTCCATCTGATTTTGCAAGTCTCAAGTTTTCCGGCTGGCGAGAGGGATTTTTGCTGCAAAGCCATATGTAAGAGTTTAGGGAACTACATATTAAGGGCAAAGTCAAACTGAAGTTTAGTGCACTTGGCTTGAAGTGTTGGGGAAGTGTTCACCGAACATGTCTGGACTGTAATTGTGTAGCTTTCAAAAGTGGTCTTAGCATTGATCAATCAATATCTACAATCTCGCATCAAGTAGCTTTGGAAGGCAATTATCTAAGGACGTCTCGTAACTCGCTAGTTGAGAGAGTTATGAAAACTCTTCAAGTTGCCACTTTTCCCAGGCTGCGCAACTTTCAAAATTAATTAGCTAAGGGCTGGCTCTCGGCAGTTCTTGAGTAAATTGTTGGCCGAGTGTGCTAATAACCGCTAGCAACTGATAAGTGTAACCTATATTTCTTTTTCCTAACTACCTCAACTTCCTGTCGCAGTTTAATGAGGTCATCGCTTGGTATTTTATCACTATACTCAGTTTATGATACATTAGTAGTATGGTTTTATCATTTATTGCTTTGGCGTCATGGTTTATTTAAAATTATGCGTTTAATGTTTAATTTCATTTTATTACTTTATAAACATTAACTGTCAAATGAGATCTATAGGATTTTGTGCTCGATTTACACATTTTATGGAGTGCAACTCACTTAGCGACGAGTTCCCTCAGCTGTTGCTGCAATGCGATTATATCTCATATTTCGAGTGGCATTACAAATACCTTGTAATCATAAAAAGTTTAAAAAGGTAACATAAGGCAGTGGTGTCGGAATGAGAAGATGCATGGTTTTTCATATTAAAAATTCCAAAATCTATCATTTATAATTGAAAAATATATAAAAAAAATAAATAATAGTATATATAATAAATAAAAAATAAAAATGTATTAAAAAAAAATTTTAAAAGTAAGTTTGAATAAAATTACTTTCACTAAAATGAAAAATCGGAAAAAATTAAAAATAAATATATGTCTAGATATATAGACATACATAGATAAAGCTCCTTTTATTATTTAACGATAAAAAATAAATTTTAATTTTATCCAATTCTTCTTGAGTATATTTTAATAAGACTACACTCCAACTGATTGCAGGGTATCGGCCAGTCAAGTGAACTTGTTTGGAGCTCTGTTACTTGTTTTATGATGATATATTAATGCAGCAGCCATGAGGTGCCATAAAGTGAAGCCACTTCAAAAACAGATGCAAACACTTTGCAGCAGCAAGAACAAGACCAACAACAACAACAACATCCCATATCCGCTTGACTGGCAATAGCTGAGTCTGACTAGTTAAGTATGTGATACACACGCACAAGCACACACACAAAGCTGGCACCCATAAGCTGTATATGATATTTAGCACTTTTTGTTGTATTTGTTTTTGTTCTACTTAAGCGTTAAATTGTTTATTTTTATATCAGTATATATGTAAACAATTTGATGGCTAGCTATGCACATAAATCTTGGCCACTTAACTGAACAACAAAATTGGCAATAGATTGCTCCGCCAGCTGCGCCCAAATATCATATTATAAATTGTTGCATCTTAATTGCATTTTAATCAAAGGCAAACATAATATATGTGACTCGTCACACAGCTGTGCAAACACTTTGTACCCTTGTGATAGGGCGAAAGCTGGGCACAGGGTTCGCCTTTATGTCGATCTGCCAAAAGACTTGCCTAACGTCCAACATTAAAATTCATGTGTCAGCTCGTTGGAAATTGCTAATCATGCGGGACACCCAATATATGCACACACACACATGAGTATAGTATCACTTATGGGTTTGTTGGGCAAACAAACGATAACTATGCAGCGAAGTGGGGGTAGCGGAACGAAGGAAAAATAAGAAAATATGAGCCATATATATTGTGTGTATTTAGGTTTGAAGACAGAGCCAACTCGACTGACTCAACTGAACTATTCCATCAAAAAAAATATATGTAGGTGCAATAGGGAAATTTAGAACTGGGTCATCAATTAGTGGCTGGGCTGAAAAGCAGAATATGAAAGATTTATGAATATAAATATTTAAATTAATTTAAAAATTGTGTTTGAAAAAATTCCGAGAAATTCAAAAATATTTTTAAAAAATTTAAAATGTTATATATGAAGTGTAAATGATTTTGGAAAATTTCATTATTTAATAGACACTTTTTTTGAAAATTGTTCTTGATGCTTAAAATGTAAATGTAAATATCATTCCCAGGAACATATGCTCATTCAATACTTTATGAGACAGACGTCATGGCATTATTGCCATGTTTAAAGTTAGAACAATTTCATTACAATTGAATTCTATAAAAATAAACTTGCAGCGCATACGAAATTATTCCCATTACGCATACGCAGCGTGTGCGACTGTTTCTTCCAGCCTGTTATTAAGACCCGCTGTGCGACAGCCATACGTATTTGCACGCACACAGTATTCATTCACAGACAGGTGAGCGAACACATACACATACACATAGACACGCACTGGTACTCGTTCATTCATTAGAAAAGTAAATTTCATGCTAGAATAAAACACAAAGAAGAAGAATATGGAAATAGAAAGAAAAATGTTCTTCGCACATTTTTTTTGGCAGCAAGCCAACTGAAAATGAAGGCAAGAGAAGAAAAAGAAACAAGCAATATAAAAAACGTTGCTCACGTTTCTTGCCGCTTGCGGTTTTTATTTTATTTTTTTTGTATATGTGGAGCTATCAAATTTTGCAACAACTAGTGGGCTCTTTATGACGCTATCAACCAGCTTGTCGGTCTGCCGGGTGTCCTGTAACCCTTGACGCGAGTCTGACTTCTGCTTGTTTGTCAAAGGTTCGGCAATTACTTACATTTGTGTGTCATTATTGTTGATGTTGTTGCCCAACGTGCTGGCCAAAAAGTCAAAGTTAGCCTCGCACATCACAGTTTGACACGGCTGCGGATCTGCCTCCTTCGTTTGGATAGATGAATGCCTTGCGGTATGTTGGGCGTTAACGTTCGACGTTCGACGTTCAACGTTCGACATTCAACATTCGACGTTGGCGTTGTCGTTGACGTTGACGTTGACGCTTGCCGGCCGGATTGCCCTTGTTTTCCTTCATGTCATATCGATTTTCAAATTTGCGGCCAGCTCCAATTGTACCTCGTGTCCAAGTGTCATTTGGCTGACGGAACTCGTGTTTGCGAAATTGTCGCTTGTCACTGTTCTTGTATTTCATTTCATTTTTCTTTTATTCTGATTCCCTTGTTGGCTTGAAGGTGTTAACTTTATCACACGGCCCCAGCCGAACTCTCTTATTTATTTTCTTGTTTTGCATATTTCAATTGTATTTCGTGTACACACAATATAAACACTTCGCATTTTTTATCTGTTTATTTTTTCTTTCCATTTCACAGAAATGAAAAGCAATTTGATATGCCAAGAAAATTTGAAATACGTTTAAACTCATTTGCGAGGCATTGCAACATTTATATAATTTGTGTTAAATGACATTTTTTGAAGGAAATAGAAGGAGGAGATGCACAAATATAACCGAACAGCATATGCTCTTTTAATGCTCATGTTGTAAATATGTTACTCAACAGTTATCGACAGTTTAGTTTTTAAATGAAAAACTCTTAATATCATGATAAAATATATTATAAGCTCTAACACCATTTTCTATTTTTAGTTCAATTATTTGTTGATCCGATATCTTTGATACAGTTAAACGATTTCTTTACTTTAACAGCTCTTTATTATTGTTAAAACAAGCATACATAATTCATCTCAAAAGCCTAATACCCAGTCAGGGCTTAATATCTAAATTCTCTTGTCTTTTGGTTTGGCACGTACCGTTCCAGTGAATGTCGCAGTTAAGAATAATTTGAGCATTGCTTTTGTGATTTTCCTGCAATGTAAGTCTTATTAAAAAGTACAATGGACATGAATGATAAATATTTGCAGAATATTAACTTTTTGATTGGGAATTTAATAAACGCTGGTGCTGTAATGGAATATTACTCCAGAGAAGCCATTGAACTATTCAAGGCTCGTTAGAGATAAGTTGTAGATATACTATGTTATCTGTTACTGTATTATATTTACAGTTGATTTTTTTCTTTCAAATTGAAATGGGCGTTGACTTGGTGCATTTTTCTTTCCTCTCTCCGTCTAGTCAGTTTCAGCTTAGCTCATTGATTTATAAATCGCAGCTAACTTGTTTAGCTTAGCTCTCAGCCGGGTAAGTACTTGGCCAATAACTGCTAGATAAATGCCTGATAACCGGTTATTAGGTATAAGTAATGAGGGTTAATCTTTGTTAATACTCTCACTGCCCGGCTTCCATATCCGGTTGGCCCATTAGCTCTTAATTACAGTAATTGCAGCTCTCTGAATATGCATTTTGGTATTGGTTCAGCGGGTCCAAATGTTCGGAAATATTCTAGAAACTCTACGTCAAATGGCTAAAGTTTAAGTGCTGATGCGAGTAATTTGTCAGTAACTTAAATTCATAAGAGTCCAAGGAACAGTTTCTATCGCGATTTCAAATGCGGTTCGTTGTAATTTTTAGTTTTCTGATTTGCCTTTTTGCAACGCTGCAATTTTCCGCACGATTGCAACTTATGACTGCAAAGTCAATTATTATAGCTGGCAATCGGGTAATTCAAAGCTCTGACTAACACGCTTTTCGGCATAGAATCTAGTGCATTGAACCCGAGTGCCAAGTTTGAGAAAACAATTCAATTATGGCCACAATTACGAGTTCGTTTTCGATTATACGCCCTATTGATACGTCACATAGCTCACAACAACAACAACAACAATAAAATTATAAGCAAATTGCCTGCTAATACTTTTGTAGTTACAAATATTTAGCTCTACTCTATAGGAAGGCAATTTGAATATTTTCATTTAACTTGGCTTAAACTTAATTTAAATAACAATTATAGTTATCGTTTGCGCCAAATTGTTCTCAAATTGTAAAAGTCATGGCGAATTTTGTGAAGCAAAATCACAATTTCATTGGATTTAAAAATATTCCACTTTACTTAAAACTTTTTTATTTTTGGTCGGTTGTTCAAGTTTAAGGCAACCCTGAGCAAATAATTAAAAACTTTTATGATTACAATAAAAAATATCTTGAATTACTTTTGCACCTTTTTTTATACTTTTGGCTCGCGACCATTTGTAATTCCTAAAGATAACGAACATTTTCTAGCTACTGAATAGCACCTGCGTTCAATTACCACATAATATGAAAACGGTTATATAAAAGTAATTTGATGGATATTAGTTTGTTTTAAGGAACTAACAAAAGGGCTTTTCTAGAATGGATCAGTGTCACCGAGCAGTTTTCAATTGCCGTAGTTCATTCAAAATGCAAATTATTGAAACGTTTTTGCTTGAACGACTTTCTTGGACGCTAACGGAAATAATTATATAGTGCCAAGTGCAAAATAGTCAGGCGTTCCATGCATGGATAAAGACCTCGTCATGGCATTTACAACAACAAATAAAAGAACAAGAGCCAGTTCACAAACCGCAAAATGTTCGCGAATAATAAAAGTTGAACTTTGTAACGACTTACAAGCTTTAGTTTGCTCGGTTCAGCTAGCTCAGACAGTTAGTTAGTTGGGCATTGTTTGGCTTATAAAGGGGTTGGCCGTGTGTGTGGGTGGCTTTTGAGGCGAAACCTATGAAAAGTTGAGCATGTGTGAAAGGAAAATGAAAAAAAATCGCTGTAACTTCAAATCTCAGATGATAATTTTATTGATGTGCCACTCAATTATGATAATTTGTATAACGCTATAAATATTTGACATGGAGATGAATGTGAGTCTTTACACAATCTTATAAAAAATACTTAATCATATTCCGGCTCATGAATATGTAAATAAATTCCCAGACATTATTCAGTATATTATTTATAATCGATCCAAGTCTATCTCTGACTATATAGCGCACTGTCAAGCCCATCTAGCTGACTTTTATATATTTTTTTTAAATTTGTGCAAGATTTATGCCACTTGATGGCCTTCAGCATGGTATCTTTTTATTTAATTTTTTTTTGTTTCTTGTTCCACAGTGGCTATTAATAGCGACATCAACCTCCAAGAGGTTACAGCAACTGCAGCTCATACACATCATTTAACCAGCTGTAAATTATAAATAACAGCAAGTTGTATTTTTTATTTTTGTTAAATTGTTTTACAGGGCTGCTTAAATTGTTAAAGTGCCTGTTTGCCCTGCCAACAAGAAAAGCAACAACAAAAGTCAGCTAAATATAAAAGGGCAGCATGAAAGGCCGCGTATTTGCCAGCTGTGACCGCCAGAAACTTAACGTTTACCTTTTCTTAGCCATATTCATTATTTGGGCCAATAAAATGGGGCAGCTCATTGGGCTTAGCTGGCCGTCTACAGTCTGTTGTTATTAATTGAAGGTCAGTTACAGGCTGCACTTGTTTTTTTGGTCAAAGGCCTAACGATTGCTCGTTTCAATAAGACCATACGACTTGCCCTTAAACATTTCGATGCCCTTACAGCTGGTATTATAATTTGATCATTAAATGTGTAACACATGACGGAAAGTAGTTCAACTCTATTTAAAATATAACAATCCAATTATATATTCAAATTTTAGTCCGATATGGAAGATATGTTGTATTTTGTTCTTTTATGAGCTTTCGTGTTCCATATCCAAATTCCCACCGGAGCAAATTAGTACAAAAATAAAATTATTGATAAGTGAATTCGATATTCGCTTTGCCTTAATTGGTGGCTCAATTAATATTTTCATGTTTTTATTAGTGCCGAAGGGTGTGTCACATATTTAGATAGTTTGGCCGACATTTAGGCCAGTGTGTGCGTGCTGGCTGAAGGCTGCATGCATGTTGTTACCAAGACTGGTAGCTGACTAAGCCATAACTAATGCAAATATTTAATCAAAGTAGTTGCATATCACACAGTTAAGTATTCGCTGGCTTTTGATAAGGCCTGCTGATAAGGTGCAGGGCTGAAATCTGATTTGTATCGTAGCGTCGTTCGGTTTAATGTAAATATCACAAAATAATTTATCAAAACGAAGAATTTATCATGTCGCGCCACTCAAAAGTAATTTGACTGTCAGGCTTGCCGCCTCCAATGGTCCCATTATCACTTTCAGTCAGCAACCGCGTGCATTTCTCCGATCCCCTAGCTGCTATAAGTGATATGTGGCTTGTCTCTAGATTAGATTTGTACAAATTTTCCAATGGAAATTAACCAGCTAATGAAGTGACTCATAGTATAGCCTCCGAGATAAAAACGATCTTGTAATTGAAAGCGAAAATGTATGTCGAGATAGCAGCATGACTAGATATCTTTCCTTCGCTTAAGATTTAAGATAACACATAGTTATCTGCGTACGTTTTAGTTGATGTGAGTCTAATGCAGATCAAGTGTTTTCTACGTATTCTCAACAAGTGATTACTTATTATAATTGTGAAATTTGAAATTTGAATTTTTTTCAATAAAAAATATGTAATTTTCCTCTATAAGAGAGATAATTAAAAAACGATAAAAACTTTGTTGGTTTATAATAAATTTCTTTCATATATTTTCTCTAATCAATGTGTAAATAAGTTTTATTTTGTTGCACGTTTTCTTGGACAAGCTGACTTACAATTTTCGCATGTCTCTAAAGTATTTATTGAATCCGAAGATGTAAGTTTAAGATTTCCCACGAATAGACAACCATAGACATCATCATAAATAATATAGAAAAATGGATGATCGGCATGAAATGTTTTGGGCCTCGGTGGACCTGGCATACTTCTCAAACTGACTTGCATAGAAGTAGCAGCTGCAGCTTCAGTACCCTCTTCGTTAACCTCGATGAATGCCTTGTGAATAATGTGGGACACTGTCAGCGGCTGTTCTTCTTCCAGCATTAGGTCAAATTCTGGACTGGTGAATATTTTGTCCATGCCCAGGGACTTGAAGACAGGTGTTAATTCCATAGCGAATTCAGTTTTAAATTTGGGCAGCTTGACAGATACTTTCACTTGCTCCAATTCAGATATTATACTCTCCAGTGTTGTTGATTTTAGATCCTTCTCAAGATCCTGTAATCCATCTTTTTTGTTGGGCAGTATGATTAGCATGGATAATTCAGTATCCTTGTAGGTCATCCGCAAGACTTTTGCATCTAAATTTGAGAGTTCGGCGTAGGGGTAATCATGAGTTGTGTTCATCATAGATACTTGAGAATTATTTTTCGCATCCACAAAAAAATCTTCGCTCACAGTATTTTTCTCATTAAATTTACTGTTCCATTCCCCCTTGAAGTAAAGCGCATTGATCAGCACGAGACGAGTTTCTGAGCTAAAAGAATCTGAACTGACTAGGTCTTTCAAAAGGTTATTTGTCTGCGCCTCAACCCAACCATTGATAGTATCAGCCGATTTTTTTGCATTTCTGAAATCTATATGCTCCGGAGTTGAAAGAAACTTTTGGGTCAACACTTCGCTGAAGCTCTGGAGTAAGTTATAACTGTCCATAATGTACACTTTGTTGGCCATTCGCAACACATTGTAATGCTGGTAATACTTGAGTGCATTATGAAAGCCATCAGCCAACTCATTGACATCGGTCGAGCTGAATTTGAGTCCGGCGTCCAGCTGACGGCTAGTTTCGCTATCATCCTTTACGCCCATGCGCAGCATTCCACCGCAGATTTGTACCGAAAGTGGGGAACATATTAGATTTTTATCGGGTGAAGAATGAACCAGCTTATCGTAAAAGTCTCGAGAGAACGTATCTAATGATTTTGCAAATTCTTTCTGGTCATTTTTCTCCACCATGCTTATTTAAAAATTAACGAAAAAAAAAAAATAAATAATAAATAAATAAATTCAAATAAAATTTGAATTTTGACAATTTCTGATTTTTCAGAAAATCTGAAGTAACAAAGTGAATGAGATGGAATTATGGAACGGGCTTATAAGAGAGAGAAAGAGATAGCGATAAATAAAGAAAATAAAATGTGAGAGATAAAGAGATATATTGAGTAAAAGAGAAATGGAGATAGACACAGACTACTGAAATAAATACTTCAATCAAACATATAACTTTTTGTTACATTAATGTTAATTAAATTGCATAAATTTCATCAATGCAATACAAATTGCTAACTACATTGAAGTATACACCCAATTTAATTGATCCGTTTTTGAGCTATCTAAGTTTCTTTAGAATTACGAATTTCATTTTTTGACTCATTGTTTGTCTATATGCAAATAATATCAAATATCGCTATCATAAAACTGATAATTTTCCGATGGGCGCCCAAGCTCGAGCACATCAATCAAATGGGGAAGCACTTGCAGAAATGTTGTGATATATGACTTTTAGAACACCTCAACGGTTCACTCACTGCTGGACACGTGTCTGGGCTCAGCAGTTTGGCTATCTGAGGTGAACAGTCGATTGGAGAAGGCCAGTTGTCAGTCAGCTTGATATTGGAATTTATAATTAATGTTCAATAACTTTTCAATTTAGGCACATTAGTAAAATATGACTTCCGAAATGTGTTTTCGGCTGATGTGTAAACTTGTCAATCAGCATAAATCAGACACACTTTTTCACTAGTTCTTGGCTCTAAGGTCATAAATATTTATATTCATATTATTATATATCTGAATATTACGACTAATATTTCAACATGCTCTATACACGCTGCGACACGGAACTGAATGTAGGTCAGTTTGCCTGCATGGCGTGTTGTCCAGCTATAAATAAATGCATTTTTGTTTTCATTTCTGAATTGCCTAGTAAACACAAACAGAAACAGAAACAAAAACGGAAACAGAACAGAGCAGAGCGGTGGGCACAATTTTCAATTGACTAGCGTAGGAGTCGCTGACCTTGTTGCTAAAGTGGAAAACTGGGAAAATCGGGGACAAGTCCACACGCGTCAGAAGTGTGGCCACTGCCAAGCCATTGGCCTTAAGCATGTGATGTGACAATTGTTCAGACTCTAGCTTAAATAAAGCCATCGACTGATTCTCTTTTTGTCTGTGTTTGAGTTATCCTGCAAACATTTTTATGTCAAATAATATTCCAGCATGAGCATGAGCTGTAGACCGCGAACTGCGTGTGCCGCAGGCATCTCTATTGTCTATGGCCACTCGCATGTGCAAACACTTTGACCTCGACGTGGCCAGTGGCGAACATTTGCTATATTTTCTTCTTTTTTATTATTTGCATTTTTATTATACCCAGCAGTTAAGGAGGGAGCCGAACAGACATTTTATTTACTTGGCGAACTCTTTATATAGTCAAGTAATAGAATTAATTGAAAGCTACTTAGAAGCGTCTTTAAATTTGGTTTTGGACACGTATTACGGCTGATCCACTTTAATATAAAATTCTTTTTCAGCTGTACCATGTTTATTTACTGAGTATCTTCGAGTTCGGCATAATAATTTACACTCATTCTTTTCTGTCGTTTGGGGTAATTGGATGCTAGTAGCCAAAATCGTACATCGTCTGCCCCAGCCCAAAAAGTGCAGTGAACTCGTTCGTTTGAAACGTTGTGCACTTTTTACATAAATTCGAGACGATCCACATAGCAGAGCACCGCCTAAAGTGACACACTGAAAGGGCTGCTAATGAGATATGGATAATGTAATAATAGAGCTCTGACAGGTTGTCTATGGGCACACAGGTGTCACAGCACTCGCCCCTCGGCACTCAATACCCATCAAGCCATCGCCCACAGCTTGTCATCATCAATTGCATTAAACCCTAATCAATGGCTCGGATATATGACCTGATTGTTGCCATTTGGTATTGGCCTTTGGTTAGACCTGAACATCCAGAGCCCTGCTGATAAGCGTATTGTTGTTGCCAGCTGTGGTTTTCGCACAATTAAGTAAGTTTCAAGTGGTTTGCACCTGGCGCTGAGTTCCCTTAGTTTAAGTAACTTTTAAAGCTGTAATTGGTTAATTATTTTGCTTGAGGGTCGGCAACTGTTATATTGGCTTGCAAAATGTTAGCCAATACCAAGGCCAATCCATTTGGGTCAATTGGCAGCTGTTTTGGATTATAGAACCGAGAGTCTCAATGCGCTAGTTAGTGTAAACTGTAATTATAATTACAATATACAAATGTGGGCTGCGGTATTACATGGAATAAATGCATAAATTCAGTTGAATAATTAATTGGTCTGCATTACATGATTAATTGGAAATTATGAAAAAATATAATCCATGTAATAAATGCATTATAAGTACACAGTGTATATGTATGCTTACGCAGAAGTATGATCAAGCATATATCTTATGGAATCGTAGGTGCTTTTATATGCCTGTTACTTACTTTTTGAAAACAACACAATATCCGTGACCTCGTGCTATAGAAAGTTCCCCGTTTATAGTACCTATTCCATAGTTAACATAGGAGTTAATCATATCTCTGATTGTACTCATTATTATTGTTACAATCGACCTGCTATCGGCTAAAGACTAGACTATATATGCATATCTTATTGAAAGATCTTTCGTTGCAGTCTGTTAGTTCGTCATGGTATGCACTTGCTCAGGTTTTTAAGCTGTTATGCTGCGTAATTGCGACAGATTGATTATCTTTCTCAAGTCATTGTGTAGCAAGTCATTCTGTAGATCTCATTAGCGGAAAGAGTAACTGAATCTACATAACTGGAGAATTTCTGTACGTTTCTGTTAATACTTTACTACCGCTATATCAAATTATACAATCACGAACTCCCATTAGGCATTTTGAATCAGAGATGAGAGCGTAGTACAGAGTGGAGCCATATACCTGAGAATACAGCACTAATCGCTTAGACGGAGTTAAGTCTTTAATTTGAGTTATAAATGGCATTGACAAGGTCATCGTAATTTCTCATATTTGTTGGAGTAGAAAGCTGTCATTAACTATTAAAATTGCTTTGATTCTTTTCATGCTTTTAACCCTAACCGATAAACACAACAGAACTTCACAATATTTTTAGCCTCTGTGTTTTATTGATTTTTACATTTAGTTATTCCTTTTTTTTTATTTGAAACATGTCACTATATATTATTTTTTTGCCCTTAATCTTGGACAAGCTGACTTACAGGGTTCGCAGAATTCTGAAGCATTTGTTGAAATTAAATCTTTATGCTTAAGATTTCCCGTGAAAAGACATCCATAGATTTCATCATAAATAATATAGTAAAATGGATGATTGGCATGAAATAGTTTCGGATCATGGTTCATGCTAAGAAAAACCACGTTAACGGAAGTCGCAGCTGCAGCTTCGGTACCCTCTTCGTTAACCTCGATGAATGCCTTGTGGATAATTTGCGACACTGTCAGCGGCTGCTTCATCTCCAGCATTTTGTCAAATTCTGCACTAGTAAATATTTTGTCCATGCCCAGGGACTTGAAGACAGGTGTTAATTCCATAGCGAATTCAGTTTTAAATTTGGGCAGTTTGACAGATACTTTCACTTGCTCCAATTCAGATATTATGCTCTTCAGGGTTGTTGATTTTAGAGCCTTCTCAAGGTCCGCTAAGCCATCTTTTTTGTTGGGCAGTATGACCAGCATGAACAATTTAGAATCCTTATAGGCCATACGCAAGGCTGTCGCATTTAAATTTGAGAGTTCCGCATAGAAGTAATCGTGGAATGAATTCATCATTGATACTTGAATATTGTTTTTCGCATCCACGTAAAAATCTTCATTCTCCGTTTCGCTCCGGTCGAATTTAATAACCCATTCACCCTTGAAGTAAATCGCATTGATCAGCACGAGACGAGTTTCTGAGCTGAAAGAATCTGAACTGACTAGGTCTTTCAAAAGGTTATTTGTCTGAGACTCAACCCAGCCATTGATAGTATCAGCCGATTTTTTGGCATTTCTGAAATCAATATGCTCGGGGGATGTAAGGAACTTTTGTGTCAGTACATCGCTAAATCCGTGACGTACGTGAATACTGTCCATAATGTAAACTTTGTTGGCCATTCGCAACACACTGTACCGCTGATAATACTTGAGTGCATTATGAAAGCCATCAGCCATCTCATTGACATCGGTCGAGCTGAATTTGAGTCCGGCGTCCAACTGACGGCTAGTTTCGCTATCATCCTTTACGCCCATGCGCAGCATTCCACCGCAGATTTGTACCGAAAGCGGGGAACATATTAGATTTCTATCGGGTGACAAACGAACCAGCTTCTGATAAAAGTCTCGAGAGAATGTATCTAATGAATCCGAAAACTGTTTTTGGCCATTTTTCTTTACCATGCTTATATACAAATTAAAAAATAAACACTAGTTATATTTTAATTTTGACTATTTGTGATTATTTCAGAATTACAAAGTGAGTGCGATTGAGTGGAATTATAAATATTGCTTAGTGGAGATAGAGAGAGAGAAGCTAAGAGAAGGAGATAGAGATAGGAAAAGAGAGAGAGATATAAAAATAGAATGCAGAGAGGGACAGAATGGGAAAGAGGAAAAGACAGCAGACACAAAGGGACAGTGGGTATTTTCGAACTCTGGATACGCAACAGATTAAATTATAAATAGTTAAATCTAAATATGATGTGCACTTTTTATACCTGGGTTATTTAATTAATTTAATTCATTGTCCACAAATTCTTTTATGCTCATCAGTTCACATATGGAAATCGTCAGCTACATTTAAATATATGCTCAATTTAATTGATCCGTTTTTAAGCTTTCCCACTTTTTCTATCATATTGATTATTTTAATTCCACGTTGGGAATTCCATTGAATTTCTGTATGCAAATTTGAGTATATCAAATTTCGTTATCATAAAACGGAAAATGTTCCGGTGCGTGCTCTAAGCTCGAGCACTTCACTCAAATGGGAGGGCAGCAGTTGCAGTAATGTTGTGTATATAACTTTCAGAGAGCCCTAACGATTCACTGAGCTATTGCATATTTAATTCGTATTTACATTTAGTTACACTTAGTGGTTTTATTTTTCCACCGGCCAATAGGAAAAAGTAAAAAAAAAACGTCACTTACACTCCGCCAGACGATGATTGTGAATCAATGACAGGCAGACGACAACAACGACAGCAACAATGAAGCAACTCATTGGCAACGATGCTAATGTGTTTGTTATTGTTTATCGCTATATTTTTTTTTGCTTTTCTGTTGGCTATTGTCGTGCTGGCGAGTTAACGAGCTAATGGAAAAGTTTATACTAGAACCTATAAAGATGGGGCACACACTAGCGCTCACTCCTCCCAATCGTGCCCGAGTCTGATGTGTAATATTGTTCGTTGTAAGTTTCCATGTTTCAAGTTTGAATTACAATTTTTTAGCTACAATTTTTTGAGCCGCGCACATTAAATTAATGCAAAAAGTGGAGATCAACGATCTTAAGCAGTATGTATAATATTGATCATTATATGAAGTCAAGCTGCTGAGGCGTATGTATAATATACATCATTATAAGAAGTCAAAGTTCTGCGGCGTATGTATAATATACATCATTATAAGATGCCAAAAGGTTAAGTTAAACACTTTTATAGTACGAACATATGTTCGTATCTAGTACAATATCGTACGATTACGACGAAAACTGTAAAGATGCAAATATTTATGTGTCTTCCACAAGTATTCTCAAAATGAAATGGAAATCAAGCTAGAAGTACGATAATGAGAGAGGGCTAGTAAAGAGACATATTAGTTGATGAAAAGTATACAAATTAAATGCTCAGAGATGGTAGCTTTGATTATAGGGCATCTGTAAGTCAACTATTTATTATTAGACATATCTTTCGTTTCGTTTCGTTCAACGATGACAAAGTTCCTAAGCTCAGATAAAAAGTTGTGCCAATATTTGTCTTTTTGCCATCGCCTTTGATAAAGCCGCATTTTATTCAATTATAGGCGGATAAAAAGAGCGTATCACATAAATACCTACTTATATATAACTTCGCATGCATGTCTATACCCAATACAATAGCCGGAGCAAACTTTTGCCGGACAGTGTAAGCAGTTGGGGGTGTCGAGTTAATTAAATTGGATTTATGTTAATGGTATTGGGAGTTGTGTATCGAAAGCTGCTGTTCGTTTTTTCTTATTGACCGTAGTTCGTTATTTTCTTTATCAGGCTTAAGCAAAAACCAAATCGAAATCTTATCAACACTCGAGACACTGAACCAAAGACTGATGTAACGCAGCTGAATGCTTTAACGAGCACTTATATCTATATAGGTGTATATATATTTATATTTGGACATTTGTCATGCTGTCTGACACACGTCTGACTTGTGCCTTGGAGGTGTGGCACCCTGTCACTGTCAATTAGCCGAGGCTTAGACTAAAAGTTGTAGAAACATGCTTATTTGACACCGGAAAAGAACAACGTGTGAAATTAATTAGCGTTCGGTTGAGGAAATGCGACGTACAAAGACCTTATTATGGATTATAACAAATCATGTATTGGCTTATCACAAATTATACGCAGTTTAAAATGCAGCTTTGTACTATTTGTACTCGTGGTATAATCCCATAATACCTTAAGCCTTAAGAAGAAGTTTAAAAGATTACAAACTAACTAACTAACCCACCTATAAGTCTACATTAGATAATCGAATGATTACTGCCTATATTAGTGACACGCTTAAGAATAAATCACAAAGAGAAATGTCAATTGATCATGCGAGCGAGGCAGCAAAAAGCAGTAACTATCTATTCCTCACGAATGCCTCAAATAAAGAATTTGAAAATATGAGGTACAGAGGGATAGCAAAGGAGAGAGAGAGAGAGAGAGATGGGAGAGGCGCCAAGAACTCATTAACGTTTACGAACAACTGGAAAGCGAAAATCTGAGAGAGCTTATGGAACTTTCTCTTGAGCAAATTAGCTATATACATGTGTATAAAAATATATATATATATATTTTTCAATTATTAATATAAGAAATATACAGTTGGCGGCTCGTTAATGCGCGCAAAAGTTCATCCATTAAAGTGCAAATTTTTTCCAGCACACGCCAATTTCATTTCAATCACCGCAAATGCAAATCACATGTTCAACAATAATTCAAGAGAATATTTGTGAATGTGGTGTGCCAGGTACATAGAATCAATATAATTTTCAATTATTAAAGGCTTATTTCAAGAGCTTATTTGCGGCTCAACAGAGCGCAGATCACATTGCAATCAACGGCCAGGTGAGTCCCATGCAAGAAAGTGGAATCATCGTGACCGTTGCGATAATTGCGACAAGCTCAAGGACACCTCACGTAACAAGACTTATAGTCCAGTCTTATAGGCAGTCTGGCTCTATATATATGTGCATAAAAAATATATTAATGTCTGTTGTCTGACCATTTTTAGGCTGTGGTAGGGGCGCACGGGGCATTGTGTGTAAATATTGGAAGGTAACAGCAGCGAAAAGAAAAACGATATAAGGAATTTCACGCCCATTTTCAGTGCGAAATATTGTCAGCCTCAAATATGGGTTAAATATCATTTATATCAAATTTATTTATGGGCTCATGAGGCTTAAGTGCCTCAATTTGTACGATAGCGGGACAGACGATCGATACGACGCGGCCAGCCAGTCCAAAAATGAGTGCAAAACTTTATATTTAAATATCAGGCTGCAGTCCACATATGAACGTCAAAAGTGACGTCACGTTTTAAGAGAGAGAGAGACAACGAGAGAGAGAATGAGCGGAAAAATATGTAAATATATATATATATGTTTATATAAAAGAGCAAAAGCTTAAAACCGGCTTTATACGTGGAACATTGACAGTTGAATGTTGTTGTTGTTGGTGTTTTTGGTGTTGTTGTTGGTGTCGTTGCTGTTGCACTCGTTCGCCTTGCGTGAGCCATAGTTTTTGTGTTCTTTGTGCTGGGATTCACAAGCTGAGCCGTTGTTCGCAACAGGTTCATATTGGCTCCATCTAGAGCGCCTTGTTAAGCGTATCACGTGCTGAGTAAATCCCCATCAAAATAATGCCGAGCCTCTTTAACCAAATTTTGATTGCTCATGCAGACGCAGATGGCGACTTTGTTTTTAACTTCTTGCTATAATTTGTGGTTAAAGCTTTGTGGACCTGGCTAAATATGTTTTTGTGCTTACGCGGCGTATGCGCCATCTAAGAGTGGGAGGACTGTGGGGTGAGGCTCTCCACCTGATTGAGTTTACTCATGCTTCATGCTTTATCTTAATGCTGTTTCTTGCCAAGTCATGCAAATGAGCGCATTCTCAGTGACTTGTTTACACGCTCCAACTGTTAGACCAGCTATCGAAAGGCTGCGCAACTGTTTCTTCAGAAATATACATATGTATGGGTATATATGTGTTGGAAAAAAACACACTTCAATTCGTCTCACCAGACCGAGATAAACAAAAGCCCAGCCAGACACTTAGACACTTAGTCAGTGAGTTTGAGCTGTCTTCGTCTTTTGAATGCAATTTATGCAGTTCGATTCTGGTTTTCGCTGATTTAGTTTAAATTGTATAAATCAGACGTTATTTGACCTAAGCCCCAACACCCTCAAGCTATAAAAAAGCAAAGCTGCCATTCAACACTTATAATCTATACAATATTTGATCAAGTGCAAACTGCCTTTGTTCCGTTGCATTATCTGTCAATAAAAATGTTATAGAGCCGCATCAGCTTAGACGCGCTGATAAGCACTAGGAAACAAGCGAAAATATAAGTAGAAATAAAGCAGCGAGTATCTTACGTTTGTTAGGTACTCTGCTTTCAATGTAAATTAGTGATCAAAAATATATATATTGACTATTTTTAAGGAAAGGTCCTGACAACAATTTGTGCTTTCATCTCGTAACAAGCTTTTATTTGAATTAATTTTGTAACTTGGCCTGACTAACGTTGGCATCTTGTGGATTTCTTCTGTCTGCTGCACTTTTCTATCAAAGATTCTGCTTCAACCAAATATACCTTTTTTGCATTGCCATTGAACAGAGAATAAGAAAAACAATTTTGATTTCGAGCAAAGCCGTGTACAGATAGAGCACTTTGTGTTTATTAATACATATGAATACGTATAAGTACGTACGTCCGTCTTTGCCTTGATTTACTTTTCGCGTCAATATTTGCTTTCCATAAACTGCTGAGCTGCTGCTGACTGAAAAGTGTACAAAGCAAGCGTTAAATTCACACCCCTTAAATGCCGTTTAACTAGATTAACTAAGTGCTTGAAAATATTCAAATCTAATATATATACAGATTACGTTGATCTTTAGCAAATTGTCCATTTGGCCTTTTCTCGCCCTCTGTTGACACAGCATTCGGAGACGCGTTTCAGTTCGTGTGTGTAATCGATTGGGGCGTGTCTTCAAAGCGAAACAGACGCTTGGAGATAAGGCTCAAAATGTTTGGGTTTTGGCAGAGTTTGTTCTATTGCTCGATGTAGGGTATTTAGGATAGGCCTTTATGAATTCTGTAACGTTTTATTTAATTTTAGAGCTAAATGCTTGAATTAGGATACAACTTTTGAGGTAAAACTTGAGATGTTGGCACAGAGACAGTCACACTCCCTGAGTCTCTCTCTCTCTCTCTCTGTCTGTCTGTCGTACTCTTTTTCTTACGAAGAAGGAGAAAGTGAACAATATGGAATTTAATATTGATATTTTTTCTTTTTGTTTGGTATTACAAGACATTTTGATGGCATGCCTTGAGCAAGCCACCTAGTTCGGAGAGATAGCTCAACAAATACTCTTGGCAAAAACGGCTCTTTGCAAATATTGTTTGTTGCCGAAAATTAAGAGCTGCGGCTCCATTGCAAACTTGCAACTTCTTGTTCCATCACGTCTCTCTTGACTCAATGTACTCTGCCTCGTGCTTAAGTAGGGCATGTAAACGGCGCTTTAGTCCGGACGTAAAAACGAAATAATTTTTGTTTACATTTCACAGTCGCTGGTCGCGTGTTCAATGCTCCCATGATGTTCGACTCTGATCACATTTGCCCAGACAGCCGAATATATATATATATTTGGATATATAATCGCTCAGTATGGAAACTGGTCGAACGATAGAACGCAGCTCGGATGAGCTCATGTGCCCGGGGTGTTGGGGACTTGCCGCTGTGGGTTCAAAGTTGTGCCGTTCGAGTGGACATGTCGCAGTCAGCTGATAGTCATAAGTTGCTTTGTTGAAGAGCTGATGCGTAGTAGTGAAGACGTGCTAGTTAAGCCCAGTCAATAATTGTAAATTCACTTAATTGGGGTTTTCGAAACATGTGGCTGTTGAGTGCTGCATGGCTAGAAAAATATCTGTGAATCAAATAAAAAACTCCAGATGAATATAAATATATATTTGTAACTTTAAGATATGTTATATTTTTTGTGTAATATTCTTTCTCTTTCGTCAGAGCTATGCATGTTCACACAATGCTGAAATACTTTTACCTACAGTGCGTTCTTATTGCTTATCAATAGCTGGTCATTGTTTGTGATTTGCAGATAAGAAATGTTTACCCATTCAATGTGACATAGGGCCAACGCGTGCCTCTGCTCTTAGAAGGCCCATGCAAATATTACAAATTGACTCTCTAACTGAGTCACAGGCACACGATTATATGTACACAGACTTACAACCACATAAATATATATGCATTACTTCTGTGTATATGTGCTGTGTCATGGTCCGAAGCCTGTTGATATTTATTTTTAATTTCACAATCAAAACAGAAAACGTAAATTGTTAATTTACATATTTTTTTTTTAATATTTATTGTTTTTGTATTATTTATATTATTATGAAAATAGCGCAAGGGAGTCTCTTATCTCATAATTTGACGTACCATCTCTTTCTCTCTTCCAGCTGCGGGTCTGAGAATTTCATCAGCTGTTTCGAACGGACAACAGCAGCAACTGCGGCAGCAAAATCATTGTTGACTTGCGCCTAATAAAAATGCAATTTTTATGGTTAAGAAAATAGAGCGTGGCCCATTGCATTGGATGTTGGATGTTGAACAGAACCCGAATAAAAGCTCTGGAAAATATGCCAGCGGCGACAGCAGAAACGACCGATTGTGATGTAATGAGAGCGAAGCAAAAGTGAAGCGGCTCGCCAATTGCAATTGCACAAAGATTATACAATTTGTGAGCTTGCAGCGAACTAGGACAACAGCAACAGCAGCAGACAGACTCTGCAAGCTGATAAATACCGGCTGGCAACAGCTAGCAACAATGCGGTCTGCAACAGCAGCGGCAAAAACAATAACAACAGCAACGACCGCAGCAGCAGCAGAATAGGCAGCATAAATTCAAAGTCGCTTCGGTATTAATTGAGCGGGAGCGTGGGAACTACAAATCACAGCTGCAGCAGCAATCAGCAACCAGCAAGCAGCAACAACAACGAGAACGGCGACAACAAATTGCCGCTCAGCACGCTCACAGCTCTCAATGTGCTCCGAGCACAGCAGCAACAGTTGCTGGCGCTCAGCTGAGAGCGTTCACTTCCCATATATATTTTGAGGCGTTGTGGTCGACGCACACGACAGTTGTGCTTGAAACGCTTCGTAGTGAAGATCGTGCTCGATCAACGCGCGGAAAAAGAAACAAAAAGCTTAAACAGAAAATTACAATTTATAAGGCAACAACAATTTGTTCAAACAGAAGCAAAAAGTAAACGCGAAAGATCCATAGAAATTGGAAAAATCGAAAAAGAAATTTTTTAGAAATTTTTGTTCAATATCGACGACGAGCTTCGCGCGTAAATTAGCAAGCGTTTGCAAGAAACAAGCTACAATAACAACAAACAAATTGGAAAATTAACAAGCAAAATAATAAGAAGAAAAAGACGAAAAAGTGTGCAACGTGTAAGCCAAGTGAAATTTTTTGTGCTTGTGTCTCAAAAAGCCAAACAAAAATAATTATGAAATAATATATAAAATGCAAAAAGTGACTCTCAAACTGTAAAGTGATGTGTGTGCCACAAACACAACTACAACAACAACAGCTAAAGCAACCACTAGAAAAACAGATAGAACTGTTACTAATAGCAGAGCAACAACAATTGTTGGTAGCATAAAGAAATGGCCATTGATTTTCTCATTTTGGCCCTGCTGCTCATCTCGTTCATCATCAATCTGCTGGCGCTGTGCGCATTCTGGATAACGCCGGGACTGCGCACCACAGCAAATCGTTTCACCATCAATCTGCTGATCATCAATTTGATTGGCTGCTGCATTTTGGCACCGACTCTGTTCTTGAGCGGCGTCAAAAGCTTCTCCGGGCCGGAGCAACAGCTGGTGGGCAGAAATGCGGCCGGCGACAGCATTGAGTTCTACTCGAAGCCGGGCAACCATCAGCTAACCATACGTCGTCATGGCCAACTTGTGGAGCAGGACGGCATTGTGGTGCGTCGCAATATCACCACCACCAACGGCAGCAGCAGCAGCAACAATGACAGCTCCGGCGATACCATTGAAATGATTTATAAGTGCAATGCCACGTATTGTCGCGAGCTGACTATCGATGAGCGTGGAGATGGCGGCATTGTCATCACGGAGACGGAGACTCAGGAGGATAATCTGAGTGTGCCGGTGCACAGCAGTTTCTCGTTGCCGACGGTGCAGCTGCGTTGCTGGTCCATTGACATGACCGCCGCACTGGGCGCCCTGGCGGTGCTGCTGGTGGTTGGCGACACATGGTGTGCGGTAACCGATCCGTTGCGCTATCATAGTCGGATCTCAGGCGTAAAGACATGGATATTCATCACGCTCACCTGGGCTGTGGGCATACTGTTTGGTGCGCTGTCCGCATTTCGTGTGCTCGACTTCGAGGCGGACACGTTGCTCAGCAGGCAGCGGCGCTTGGCTGCTACCTACTTCAACATCAGCAGCACAAACAGCATTTTCGGAGTGGTCTATGCCTGCGTGTACTTCATAGTGATCATTCTGTTGCCGTTTGGATTTGTCTGCGGCATGTATTGGCGCATCTTCAGCGAGGCGCGTGGCAATGGGCTGCGCATGCGCCAGAATGGCTCCTCGCCGCTGCTGCAGAGCGCTCTCAATCTGACCAATCATGCCCAGGCCACGCCCGCCACGCCCTACACGAACAGCCTGTGTGTGCACAGACATTCCATATCATCGGCCAGCTCCCACGGCGGCGGCGCCATTGTTGCTGGTGGCCTACAAATGCAGATCGACCAACGTGCACCACGTAGCTCGCCGAGCTGTTTGCGTCGTGATTCGGCTGCCAAGGTGCTGCTGCCCACCATCTCGGACGATGGCTCCGATGTGGATGTGGAGAGCAGCCATGGTATGCCGTTGATGAGCGTGCCCGAGCAGTCCTTAGCGTTATCGGATCGCAATCAGAACATTTTGCTGACTCTACAAACGGCTAGCGGGGAGATCAAGCGCAACTATTCAGCCAGGCAGCTGCCCTTGTTGGGCACGTCGTCGCAGGATTTGCGCGAGCTGCACCGTGTGCATGGTATACGTCAGGTGCACAGCTCGCCGAATCTGCACAAGTACACGGAGTTGCAACAGGATTTGGTGGGCGAGGAGTGTAGCTCGCCGCATTTGCTGCACGCCCATCGCCAGCAGGAGCAGCCGCAGATGCTGCAACAGCAGCAGCAACAATTGCCGCCACAGCAGCAGCAGCTGCACACACACTTCAGTACTGCTCGCCAACAGGCGGCAGCAGGACATGCACTTCAAATTCCCGCTATACACGCCTCGCCAAAGGCTCTCAGCTACATGAGCTCGCTGCGTCATCGCCTCAGCAATGCCAGCTCCCTGTTCAAGTACCGTGAGGAGTCCCGCGCTGCACGCATCAGCATCCTGGTCGTGGTCATGTTTGTGGTCTCCTACTTGCCCTTTGGCTTGTTGGTGCTACTACAGTCGCGCCTGTCCGCTGCGAACTTCAGTGGCTCCACACAGCTGGCCATCTTCATGATCCTGCTGGCCAATCTCAGCTCCCCCTTCATCTTCGCCTATCGCAACAAGCGCGTGCGCCGTGGCGTCAAGCGACTGTTCGGCCTGGACTCGGCCAGTGCACTGCAGCGTCACCCCAGCAGCAGCATGAAGACCAATGGCAACAGTGCGGCTGCCTCCAGTGCACCACAGTTGCAGCGCAACAGCAGCAAATTGTCGCAGTACAGCAGCAACAGCTGCAGATATCTAACGCCACAGAGCTCGTTAGTCAGTCAGTGCCAGACGGCAACGCCTGTGCATACAACACTGACACTTCGTCCGAATAGCAGCTGCAGCACCATCATCAATTTCGGTGGGCACAAAAAGGGTTCTGCGGACTCGGACGAGGTGCCCTCGCTGGAGGCAACACCACTGCGCCAGGCTCGGCCCAAGCTGCAGCGTGGCATTACGATCGTGGAGCATATACATATAGCAGCCTCGCCCACCAAGTTTCAGTCGAGGCGTGGCCTGCTGGATATGTTCTTCCGTGGATCTAAGAAGCTGCAGACAGACTGTACACAGTCGATGCCAACGGAGGTCTAGATAGCCTAATTCTAAGTAACTACTAAATATTGATTTGCTTGCTGAAGAATTCGCAGAACAGTATTCGTAACTTGTAAGTTTAGCAGAACTAAGCCAAAAAAAAACAAAGAAACAAAAATAACAAACTACAAATCTTAAGTTAATGCTGTGCTAGAAGCTTCTCATGCCAAAAGAAAAAACCACAAAACAAAACAGAAAATAACTATTTAATTTTACACAAATTTAACATATGCATGTGCTTGTCAAACTGTAAAAGGCACGGGCCGAAATCTATACGTACCTTGTAAAAAAACATTTATCCAGCTAGATAAAAACTAAAAATACAAAGATAACAACAATTGTGAAAAAGTCGCAAAGAAACAAAATGAAAATACAAAACATTTTAAAACAGTCTTAAACAAATTAAGTAAATAGCTTAAATGTTATATCAAAACGGGAATCAAGCAGCCAATTTCGAGTACCTAACAAAAGAACAGCTAAACATATGAATATTGTATATATCTACACTTAAAGAAAAAAAACAGCTACACTTGTTACGTCAATTGCTAAAGACTCTCACACACAAGAAAAAAACACAAGAAACGACACTTATTTATTTATTATTATTTAATTTCGTAAATATTTATTAATTAAACACGACAAGCTTTAACAAAAACAACAAAAAAAACACAAAACATTCTGTCTAAAACCCAACGCTAAGCATTCAATTCGTAAGCTAAGTAAATGTGCATAGCATATATATATATATATATATTACATTGTATTAATATCTATTATAGATTTTTATGTATACTATAGAACCTGGCACCTAGTGCTATATATATATTTATATATATATATATATAATATTATTTCTTGATATTGCAAGCGGCAGTTTTCATATTGAAAACTTGTTTCTGTTCTGTGCAATGTCTTCTTCTTATGTTCGCTGTCAGACCTAATTTTTTTATTTAATTTTTAAATTGTTCTTGATCATTGACCATTAAAGTCAATTTTCTTTCTAGTACTTCAGTCATTGCGTGCTAAATACCTCATTAGTTTTAATTTGAAAGAAGAATTATATAAAAAATATATATCTATTGTATTTGCCGCCTCAAATAGAAAGCTTTATAATATTTAAGTTCCATTCAGTAACATTATTTAATTTTTGTCGCCATTTGACTTGCTTACATCTAGCAAAGCCTTTTGTAACTTAAAGATACAAAATATACGCACACACACACACTCACGCACACACACATAAAAAAACAAAACCTCGAATTTATATTTCTAAAAATTTACATGAAACAAAAATTAAGATATATTTATATGTATTATTATATAAAATTATATATCTGTGTATTGTGCATGATCTGTGTGTGTAGACATCAAACAAAAAACAGTTCCCAGAAATTTCAAAACCAATTAATGTGATGCAAAGATAGAGATAGAGAGGCGGAGAGAAAGAGGTGAAAGGATGGAAAGCTAAAGAAATGTAAGGAAATGCATTCAAAAACTAACTAAACATGTATTAATAGTTTATAAATATATACAAATAATGCTATTTTTTCAATGTCAAAAGCTATTTACTATGAATGTAAACCAAAAATAAAACAAAACACAAATTCGATGTGACAAATTACCTTACAAAGTTGAAGAGCAACCGAAACGAAATGAAACCAAACTAAAAAAAAAAAAATGAAATACACAAAAAACTTAACTACAGTACAATTATAAATTGGTAGCTACAACAAGACATCAATTTTATCAAATATATTCTAGTAACGCTGCTAATTTCAAAGATGAAAAATATATTACAAAAACTTAAAAAAACTATGATATTCCAACAACAACTATTTAAATAAAAGAATATGTGTCTTAAAAATAATTAATTATTATGACTTTTTATTTTCTGGACTTTAAGTCGCTTTTTTATTAATTTTTTCTTGCAGCCAAACTTGTTCTATGTGCGACTGCCCACGCAGTCATGCACATAGATGATGTGTGTGACATAATAGAGGGTGTATTCAAAAGTTTCCAAAAAATACTTTTGAAATATCTATTAATAGAAAGAATTTCATATCACATATTTTATAGAGAAATATTCGGAGATGATGGGCATCAAGCGTGAAAAATCATTTGAAATTGTTAAGAAAAAAATAGTTTGACTGAACTTCAAAATTACTTTGAAGCTTCAAATCATTCGATCAAATCAAAGACTAAACTAAGAAGTCTTAAAGCCAGTTAAAACTGTAGCAAAAACTATTTATTAGTTAGGCAGTTAGATTGACAAGTAAACTACTTTTCTATAAGATGAACTTTATTATATTCAATAACTTATCGATCCAACCTCTGTTGGAAAACCCGACTCTTTGCCGCTCTGTGACTCGCATGCAGCACAAGAGCTCTACAACACGAACAAGCACTTGACGACGACTGTGGACTTTAGGGAGCCACGGTTCAACAATTCAATCGCGAATGCTGTGAATACTTTTTTATATACGTGACCATACTAATTGATTCATTCTGCGGGAGCTACAAAAAAACTGTTAGACTTTGCGACTGGTTTAAAATAAAATTGAAGTGAGATATGAAAAAAAAAACTAATATTTTTTCAGAACTGATTGTCACAAATGGTGGCCAGCAGCAGCTGTAAATGGGGCGTTGAGTGGTGCCGAGTGGTGACAAGTGCCGCACCACGCAATAAATAATTCACAAAGCCAACGGCTTTGCCCATTTGAAGTTCAGCTCGAACTCGTGCTCGTGCTCGTGCAGCTCGGGCTATTCATATTTGGCAGTACACGTGGCGTATGGGCGTTCTGAAATGTTTGGCAGCGTGGTTTGGCGATTAATTTCAAGTTTATTTAACGGGCAGTACCACTTGCACCACTTGATATTGCCATGAGGCGTGACTAATCACCAAGCATGTTAGCTTACCTGTGAGTCAGTCGCCTCTTAGCGCCTAAGTTTGCTATCTGTGCGATTTGCTGCATAAGGGTGACAAGCTCTGCACAAACAGAGCACACATACACCTACCTCAAATCAACATAGGCGCCGACCTCATGACCCCTCTGACACTCAGCTTCCGTCTCACAGCTCATACATAGATCCCAGCTCTCAGCTCTCAGCGGATGCGTAGCTGTCACTCAGCGAATCGGTCACCAGAACAAAAACTCAAACCCGAAAACGAAACAGAAACCGAAACCAAATGTTTATTTATTTTATGATTCACTCGATTCAACTATGCGTGAAAAAATGCCGCTCTCTCACAATTTGATACATATATGGTATATATATTTTATATATGTATAATTTATATACATATGTTATATATGGATAACAACGAAAGCAATTTTTTTGTTGGTCCGACATTTGCCAATTGTTGGGCAAAAAATTGCTGCAAAATAGAATTTCAAGTTGGATATTCGAAGCACATATATGTAGCAAAACAACAACGTTGATTTAATCTGCATTTTGATGAGCTCTTTGATGATGAGCAAAAGAAGCGTCCAATTGCTTGAATATACAACAGCAAAAAGTGTGCGAGAAAAATGGTTTCTATAGAAATTGAAGTCTAGTTGGTTATTTTAAGCAAATCGATCATATATGGAACATAAAAATCACTAAAGAAATCAATAATATAAGAGTTCTTAAATTTTATATAATCTAAGTCACTGCAAAATGTAAATGAGTTGTACAAGTTTAAATCATAATGAAACAACAAAAACTATTTTTACTATAAATAATATTTATATCGTTGGATGCAGAACTTTATGCCGTTATTACAGAAATGTTGTTTTGGCCATTATTAAATCTAAATCTAAAATGCCAATTTTCACAATCAACACATTTATTTTTAAAGACATATGGACCCATGACTCTGCTAGTCGTTAAGAGCACTAAACAGTAAATTTCTGTGTGTCAAGAAAATCTTGTAGATTATACTCACTTCAAAATAATTCTGCTTATTTATGTGTTCAGTCAACCAAAATGGACTTCATCATTACGTGTACGCCAAAAGATGGACAAAGTGCACGATGAGTTTGACGAATAAGCCCATTATTTTGATAAACCATTTTTAGAATTTGCAATTAAGCCTATTGCTAATAAAATGTCAAATCACACTGAACCAAAAGCAACTCTTATTTGGGAAACGAGTTATCAACTAAAGCAACGTTGACAACTTAACTTTGTGGCCTTCTAAATAAATATTCTATGTTAAGTTAAGTTCTAAGTTCTAAGGAAGCATTTTTATTTTATACCTAAAAAGATTTCTTATCAGACTTATTTTGTTCAGATTTTTCTTTAGCTGGAGCTTGACTGTGTGAGTGCCAAAAAGTTGGTCAACCATCACTTGATAAACATATGTTTGATTTTAATTACAAAACAATAGGAAATAGCTTGAGTTCGTATTACTGAAACTGAAGATGAAAAGTATTGCAAACAAATTATAATTCGTATATGTTGTCAGGGAATATATTTGTAATTTTAAGCTCATATATGTATTAGAAGCTCTGCTCTTAGTGACTGACTTTGAGTGCGACTTTGCAATACATTATTCAAGAAGTTTATACTCAATATTAAACCGTTAAGTGCCAAACTTGCCCCAGTTGAAGTGCCTTAAAAGTCAACTTGCTTCCGTAATGTCAAGTAAGCGATGCCAATAAAAGCCAATCCTAATTTGAATAGCTGCATAATTAAAGAAAAAATTAATAATCGTATTTTTGAACCACAGCGAGCGGACAAAAGTCCGGTATTTATATTTGTATATATATTATATTATATGCATATATATTTATATTTAGCAAGAGTCATTAGAACAAATTTGTTTGTTGGCACAGCGACACAGATTTTTGTTGGTTCGAGCTGCCGAAAAAAATAAATAAATTGAATTTAAATGCTTAAATCTGAATGAATGAGCTGAGCATTTTTTTGCTTCTCTGGTGACTGTCAGGTGAGGGAATCTGCTAAAGCATCTGGCGGGACCGTGTGGGTGGACATGCGGCTGTCAACTTGAGCAAATTGTCAGCGCTTAGACAAGGGGAAACCATTTTAAGCAGCGGCATGTGCACAAATCGGAGGATAAGAGTGCGTCAGAGCTGCGGGTCTAAGTTACAGCTGACAGCTAAGGATGCGACGACAGTAGCTAGCACTGTAAGTGGCCGATACCTGATATATAGATGGGTATTCAGTTGTATAGTGTATGCAGAGATATGTTAGATATACTCTCATGCAGATTGACTGATTAATGTTGCTATTGGCTCTGTCAGCCTACAAGCGTTTAGTTGCTCGTGTCAATGAACCGTACGGAAGTTGTGGCAGCTGTCAAAGCGTTGAACGTATGTTAGAATCGAATGGCATAAATCACAGAAGAGGC